TTCTTCTTCTTCTTCTTCTTCTTCTTCTTCTTCTTCTTCTTCTTCTTCTTCTTTTTCTTCTTCTTCTTCTTCTTCTTCTTCTTCTTCTTCTTCTTCTCAAACCGTTATTGTCTCTCTGTCCTACAGAATTCATCACCTGTATGAGAAGCGACGACGAGGATGATGATGATGATGATGACGACGACTGCGAGGACGGCTCAGACGGCAGCGAGGACGAGGAGGAAGAGGACGATGGGAATAGCCTGAGCCCAACGAGTCCTTAAACTACCACCGAGCTGCTTTATCATCGTCATCATGTTATCGTCGTCATCATCTTCATCGTTATAATCATTCGGTTGTTTTGTTTTTTGCTTTTGTTTTATTAATGCTTAATTAAGACTTTTCTTCACGAAATGTAATTATTTTATGTAAACGAACCAGCAAACCGGTATGAAAACCTGCAGAGACATTTGTGAGGCATCGTGGTGAAATCAGGCGCTCGTCAATTTTTGAGAATGTGGAGCTATTTTTGGTATCATCTTAAAGCTTGTTCATTTGTCTTGATTTTAATTTTTTAAATCCATTTTTCTTCGGATACAAGTCGAGATATTGGCAATTGGAGGAGGTGGGAATCACCTGGTTTCAGAGATAAAATTTGAAAGAAAATGGCAGCCAAAGTTTAGTTATTTTATTAGCTTGAGAGTCCGTGGAAACTGAAAATTTACATTTTTTGTGTGCCTTTAATCAATGTTTTTCAATAAAAAATCTATACAGAAATGTGTTCTTTAATGGACACATAGAAGGCGTTGAGCCCCCCCAAAAATTCGATTCGATAAAAATTCCCAAACTTGCGGAAAAATGTCAGTTTCTTCATTTCCATTATTTTGACGAGCGCCTGATTTCACCACGCTGTCCCATATTATAAAAGTGGGTACAAAAGGGATAAGTATTCCCCATGCACACAACTAAAGCAATCACCCTTAGATTCTGTGTCTGTAGTGATGTACGCAACAGAATCATTTACAAAAAGGTACAAGAAAAGAACTTCTGCAACATCAGTGGCGTTAGTATCGTCACAGACGTCATCATCATCATCATCATCATCATCATCATCATCATCATCATCATCATCACCACCACCACCACCACC